GCGGCTGGAACCCAGGGAGGCTCCAGTAACTGTGGGTGTGCCTGCCTTCCAGCAAGTGCCTTTACTTTCCAGTCACATTTGGTCACACCCTCATAGAGTCGCCCATGTCCTGTTCCTAAGGAGACGTCCTGGAATAATTCTTCCAGAAGCCACTGAAGAAATAAATGAACAAGCAGACCGCAGGTTCTTTACCACCGGCATTTACCCAGACTGCTCTCGAGCTAGAGGCTTTTGTAAGTCCAGAAAGAGACAAGGAGCAGCCGACCCCTCAAGCAAGTAATTGACAGCGGAAGGATAGCGTGTCACCCCAGAGAGCTGGAGGGCTTGCATTTAGCTTACAGTTTATTTAGCTTGGCTGGGCCTTGATTGGCCCGCGGTTTTCTAGAGCTGCCTCTGGGCGGCTGTTGTCTAGACTGAACACTGCGGAGGACGCACTCTGTAATATTTGCTGCTGCGGCAGGAAGGTTTGTGTTTGTTTTTACCACATGACTGTGAGGAGTGGGGGCCAGTGGAGCATCTACTGGCCAGCGGCAGCTAGAGCTAAAAGGGACCTTAGAGCGCATCTGACCCAGCCCCCTTTTTACAGAGAATCAACCCGCCTGCCAGCCACCCCACACCCTTCTCAGCTCCTCCCCACGTGTAACTTCTACCATGGGACTTGACACAAAGCATCTGAAAAGTCCACCCTCCCCACCACACAGGGGGCCCTGCGGCCAGAGCTCAGCCCCACCCATCCTTCCAGCCTAACCCAGATGCTTGAATCAGGCAGATACAAGTGTTCGTAAATGTTTGGGGGACCATGGAAAGACCCCAAACCCAACCAGTCAGATCCCAGGAGCAGGTTTCTCCACCTCACCACCCCTCCAGCCTTCCTCCCACCCCAACTTGGTCCCGCTGAGCTCCCCAATATTGATCCTAAAGGGATGAACCGCTTCTGTTGGTTTGGCGTCTGGAGTTTATTAGGTACTTACTGATACCCGTCAATTGTAGATAGGGCTGAAGTGCAGGGAAATGGCCGCCTGCATGAAGTGAAATTCAATAAAACCGCATTTTAAGTGAAAAATCAGTATAAACACCAGGCTTCTTCGCCATGGAAACAGAGGTTGCTTAGAAACGGCCTAACGGCAAGTTCAAAATTTTTTAAAGTCAAGTTATCATTTAAGCTACACGGCCCTACAGGTTATTGAGAGATAATCACTGGCCTCAGGACACTGGGAGGCATGAGCCCCAGCTGAGTGCCTCCCAATACTCCGGGGACCAGATAATCTCTTGATAACTTTGCTCCCCAGAGCCACCGATTTGGGCCTGGGGGAAGGAGAGCGACATTTTTGTTGAGGAGTTAAATGGTATATATTTATACCTACACACACACACACTTTTTTTTTCCAAAGTGTTTTCTCTCTGAGCTGGGAGAAAAAAGATGGACCTGCCAGTTGATGTTTTCTCCAGTGGCCCTGCTGTGTCTCAGGATGTAGTGGGGACATTTCCCAGGCCTTTGCCCTAACCATTTGGAACCATTGCCCTCTGGCCTTCGACCATGCACAGAGGCCTTCCCAGGACTTCGCCTTCCTGCATGAGGCTCATCTCTCTCCAGGACTCCTCCTCAGCAGCTCAGGCAGGGCAGGATTGGCACCAGGCCTACGTGCAGCAGAGCCAGGCTCTGAGGAGACGCGCTCCCCTGGACCTCAGCCTCAGCCCCCACACGCTTACCCCGAATGCTGCTCCAAGTCAGAATCTGTCGGTGTGTGGAGTTGAGCAGGTCGCGCACAGCTCACCGAGCCAGAGTACAGCCCCGCCTGCCAGCTGTCTGTTTGCGGGGCACAGCTTTGTTCCCCACCCCAGGCATGTGGAGGGCAGAGAACATTGTGTGCATTTCTCCTTGAAAATAGTGGAGAGAACTGGCACCCCATTGGCTGAGAATCAGGACCCCCAGTCGGTATGGAGGAAATACTAGGTGAAACCAAGACTTGTGTTTTGCCCATTCCAGGGTATCTGAGAATGTTCCAGGGGTGGCACTGCCGCTGGGGCTGGTAGTGGTAACTATTCCTTAAACACACACATGCCCACAAAATAGCCCTGCTTTTATGATATACTTCAAAGTGTTTGCCTTCACCTTATCTTAGAGCCTCAGGAGGAACCTGTAAGGAAGGTGTGACCATTCCTCTGGAGAAGGAAGAAACGTGCTCAGGGAGGTACAGTCCTGTTCTCTGAGCCATGAGGCAGCAGAAGGGCTTTCTGCCAGCCTCTTACTCCTCTGGGGAGCCTACCCCTTTACAAGCCAGAAATGACACCCAAAATAATTCTTCCAAGAGTTTAGCTCTCACTTAATAAAAGAAGACAAACTCTACACACATCCCCCCCCCCCAACCCCGTGCCCTTTGCTTCTCCCTAGAGGTGTTGGACACAGAGTGCCTCCCTTCAGCTTTCTCTCCTGCCAACGAATACAACGTCTGCAGTTAGCACGTTAAAGAGGGCACCAGGAATGAGCACTGCAGGGTGTTCATGCCATTTGAGTGAGAGCGGAGTTGGGCTGGGGTCCCAGTCTGCTGAGTGGTGCCCAGATGAAAATACTCCTTGAAGCCAGGAATAGGCTGTGCTGGAGCCTGACAAACTCTTCCTGTTCTTGAAGAGGGTGGAAAAAAAGAAACCATTTGCATTCTAACAGTCTTTGGCACCGGGGAAAACTGTCAACTGTGTCACGTGTAAATAGGAATCTGCTTCCCATTTTTGGTGTGTTTCTTCATAATTTCCCTTGCCACTCTAATTATCAAAGATATTTTTGTTTTTAAACAAAAATTGTCTCCCACGCAGGCCCCATCTCCTTTCTGCGGTGAAGTGGAAACGATGAATTAGAATATTCTAATCACTTCTCCAGCAGCCACTGCTGAGGTTATAAACACTAGATTATCCTAAGCAAAGAAAACTGAAATTGTTTAGGCACGAAGCAGGCCAGAAAAGAAAATTTCGAAGTGCCCCCACCTGCTTCTCCTGCCCCTTTAGCATATGTTTATTAAACACCAGCAAGAAAGCAAAACTGGTTTCACAGAGGTAAGACGCACACCCTCGAGAGCACCGGCTTTTCCGATTAACGAAATTGCAAACCAGAATTTTGGTCCATTTAGCAGGCATTTAAGTTCCTCCTTGATGTCCAGCAGCGTGCAAGAGGCTCCCAGGAACAGCTGTCAGGAATGAAATGTGATCCAATTGAATATAGACTGCGTATCCTATTAGGTAGAGGTGGGGTCACCAGGGCGTTAGCCCCTGCTTACTCATCAAGCAAGCAAAGCCCTTGGTGGGGGACATCACCATTTCACACTGAGGGAACTGACCCAGGAATGGTGACTAGCTTCCCGCAGCCACGTGGAAGGGATGCTTGTCCATCCTGTTCAGATATTCCTTGGTGGCGACTTGGGATCCTTTGGATGGAAATATTCCAGAGTGGAACATCGTCTTAGTTCATCAGTGTGGACCAGAAGTCACTAAGCCCTCTTGAAAACTGAAAACCTAATCTGCTTAACAATCACTGACTTGCTGCCCGCCGTGCCAGGTGCCTGGGATACAGCAGTGAACAAAGCCTCACTACTCCTGGACGCAGGGAGCTTGTGTTGTAGGGGAGGGGTAGTCAGGACACAAGTAATTGCTTTCTGTTGAGAATGGTGTCCTCAGTGGAAAAAAAAACTGAAGGGCAGGCTACCTGGACACAAGAAGTGGTTAAAGCATTTAGCTGCTCACCAAAAGATCGTGGGCTTAAACCCATCATCCCCTCTGGGGGAGAGACCTGACAGTCTGCAGCAGTGAAAATGTACAGCCTTGGTACCCTTGCCCTGCTCTACAGGGTCACTAGGTGTTAGATCTACTCAGTGGCAGTACATTGACCAAGGGTCAGAGACGCCCTGGTGGCTCTTTGGCTAAAGCAATCCACTGTTAACCAAAAGGTCGATGGTTTAAATCTCTCAGCTTCTCTAAGGGAGAAAAATATGGCAATCTGCTTCCACAAAAACAGCTTTAAAAATTTGGGGAGGATGGCTTATAGTGTCCTCTGAGTCATAATCCTAGCAGTGGCTTTACCCAGGCACAAAGATCTAGGAAGAGGTCACCTGAAGAGGTGACACATGAGCTGAGAGGTCGCTACTCCGTGAGGGGAGGGACATTACCTGTCTCAGGTTGACAAGCAGGACAGTGAATGGCTGCCGTGGACTTGTCAGTCAGCCAGGCATGTAGATTTCATGCTTGGACTGTCCTAGGCATGTGGACCATTCAGAAACAGGCTATGAAGAGAAAAGAAACAAGGGTTAACCCCAAAGTTCAAGTTGTCGTAAAGAACCTCACCCTGAGTGGAGGCATGGTCCAGTTGCCTGGCCCTTCTGCTCTGTCTCTGCCAGAGGTCCCAGGGCAGCATATGCTGCTGGATGTCGTCCCCATCTCTAAAGTAGGCCTCACCGCAGAGCGGTGGCATGCTTCTAGACATCAAGGCTGGCTCTTGGTCACCAGAAAAGGTGAAACGAGTCCTGCAGCAAGCTTGAGGGATCAGAGCCAAGGAGCTTGAGGCTCAGTAGCGGGGATACTTGCCTGTGGTTCCCAGGCAGGGCTGGGAGTCTGGCCAGAGTGGGGGCCAGGCCTTCGAGTTGAACGGAGCCTATCCAGGAGGGGTGGGCCCTGTCATTTTTCTTCTCTTTGAAAACTGCTTTACACCCAGAAATCAACCTGTTTCTTTGCCAAGAGCTTGTTTGATGTCAATATTGTTCTGCTCAGACTAATTACTTTTCTTCCCTATGTCAACGGATATGAAACTGTTTACCTCTATTTCTGTTAGGCTTTAGAACCCTCGTAATGGCCTCGTCTTGGGATCTTCTGTGAGCTTGTTCTGCTTTCCAGAAACATTCTGATATGATTATCTGTTTCTTCTCGACATCCTAGTAAATCTCCTTTTGGATAAAACACCCGCTCCCCTCCCTTTTCTCCTCTCGCTCACTTCTCTCTCTTTTCCTTTTTCTCTACAGTGTTTTCCTCCATTTGATGAAGGTAGACCCAGACTCTACCTGGTTCCTCCTGAATGAACTGTACTGTCCCCAGCAGTTGGCGCCCCCACACTCCAGCCTCTACCCTGTGCGGCTGCGGGGGCCAACGGGACAGCCAAACCCCTACACAGCCAACGTGCTGCGTCTGCTCAGTGAGCTGCAGTGATGCCCGCCTCACCATCTGGGCAGGGCCTGGAGGAGGCCGCCTGTCCTCCCACCGCCCCCTCCGATGTCACCCTGACCCCACCCAGGCTGAAGACATTGGCAGCAGCCGCAGAGAAGACAGCAGAGGTGGATTAGACAGTCAATCGATGTATAAATTGATCGATCACACAACTGCTTAGAAATTGGACTGAAGGAAAGTAGCTGGCTGTTATTTATATTTCATACCTTGTGTTTTCAAATGACATTGTCTGGCAGGTCTGAGGGTTTAACTCCTTAGCTTATTGTCTCTAGGCCCTGGCGCACCTCAAGGCCACCTCCCAGGCTGTTACAACCCAGCACACACACTCACATCCCACCCAGCTTCAGGACACCCACCCAGGGTGAGCCCCCCTGTACTGCACAGCATGCGTGCTCTGAGTCCTGCCACCCACATCCCAGCCTCAGCTCGAAGAATGAGCAGACCATTGCCTGCCATTGCAACACAGCCAAGTCTACACACACACGCCCCTTCCCACAAAAGGAAGTACAGCTAAGTTTGTTGTACTAAACAGTTTTTTGGAAGAAAATGAATTAAAGGCCTTTCTTAAAAGGAAGTAGCATCAAGAGCTCACTTTGAAGGCTGTTGTTTAAATTGGGTGATTTTTTTCCCCCCATGAATGTGTGTGCTTCAGTAGATGATACAGAACCATGTTGTAAAATCTAGTACAAACAGAAAACATTGGAAAGTACGTTTCCCCCTTCCCCAGCCATCTGGTTCCCCTCCCCAGAGGCAGCCACTTGCAGCATTTTTTTTTATCTTTTAATTTGAGAGATTAATATTTAAACTTTTTATTAAAAGAAAAAAATCTTAGTACGCACCCACAGTCCATCAACATGCCTAAAACAATTAGCAGTGACCTTTTAATATTGTAAAATACTGTTGGGGTAAGATTCCCAGTGTGTTCAAGTCAGGATCCAAATAAGGCATGGTCCTTAAGAAATCTCTTCTCATTTATGGCTCCTCCTCTGCCTCTTTTTCCTTTATTGTTGGAGAAATGAGGCCATTTAACCTCCAGCGCTTCCCACAGGCTGGGTTTGCTGATTGCATCCCTGTGGGGTTCCTTTCTCAGACGCCTCTTGTCCCCTGTATTTCCTGTAAATGGGGAGGCAGAGAGGGAGATGTGGCCAGATTGTTTTATGACTGTTTTTTGGGGTGGTTGTTTTGGGTTTTTTTTAATGAGAGTTTGGGGTTTTGATGGTTTATTTGCTTGCAATAGGTGGTGGTGTTGACTTCCCTGAGAGGCACCGTCACCTTGGATCTCTCGGGGCCGTTAGGGGCCTTTGTTGATCATCGCCTGGATCTGTTCAGTCATTAGGGATTGCCAAATTGACCTAGTCTAATCCTTCCTTTCTGATTTGCTTTGGCCACAGCACTTCTACAAACAAAATCTTCATCAACTATGTGTTAACCTTGAAGTAATGTTGGTATAGACGAGCCAGATTTGGTGCTGGGTATTTTTCTAGCTGAAGGATATAAAACACATAGATTATGTAAATTTAGATACACAGCCTTACACATACACACACACACAAGTGCCCCCTGATCCCAGGAATGACAAATGCTTCCTCACTAAATGCACAGTGAGGCGTTGTGTCGGGGCCTGTCCTGGTAACATCAGGAATCCCCAGGCTCTAAAAACCACAGAAGGTGGTTGCTATAGGGACATGGGCACAAGAGAGGCCCCATTTTTTTTTCCTTTTAGAATCTCCCTTGCAAGGGCAGTGAGATGTCCCACTCAGGTCCAGGTGACACAGACCTGCATCTGGTCTGGTTCTGCCAGTTAGTCATCAAGGAGCTCTGCGTTCTTTGGACCTCAGTTTTACAGTTCATCCTGTAAAATGCAGGGATTGAACCACATGGAGAGTTCTAAATCTTTGGGAGTTCTGGAGACCCATGAGCAGAATGAGTAAGAATCATGAAATCTGGGAGTACGTTGCCCTCAGAGGGCGCTGCATCTCCCAAAACAGCACCAGCATCATCTCCTGATTGGCTGGGCCTTTCCAGCCGAACTCATGAAATTCCTGTGTACAATTTCAGAGGAAAATATTCTATTTTCAGAGGTCTTATTCCATGACCCTGCAGGGATCCCAAGTTTAGAACCCCTGGAATCAATCTCTACTTGCCCCATGAACAGCTGCCTACTTTTCCATGAGAGAAAATAGCATTACTGACCTTTTTGATAAAAATGCTGTAGAAGATTCCTGCTCAGAAGGTCAAAAGAGGGGAAATGTAGGACAGAACTTGAAATTCTTATGAAATTCAGACTTTTCTGGAGTCTTTGAGTCTAGATGTCTCCCTCCTCCCAAAGCTGTTGCCATGAGAAATGTTTAAAACTTAAACTGTCCTCTGTCTGAAGTCATCTTTAAAGCAAACAGTTGAGCTTAATTAGAAATAAATCTCTGTCTTGAACATTGTGTCATTTTAAAGACTTGTTTGGCTGCAATCACGCTGACAGCTATTAACTCAGAAGGTTAGATGAGGAGGGTAGGGGCCAGGGAGTTTGTGTTCATGACGGTGAAGCGGTCTGGGGAAGAATATCAAGAAAGGTGGTTCAACTTGAAGACTCTAGCCAGTGTCACTGATGTACGCTGAAAATTGTTGAGTTGGTATGTTTTGCTGTGTTTTATCTTTATACCGGCACACTCAGTCCCTGGAAGAGATAACCTCTTCACTTTCTTCTAGCTTTGAAATTCTGAAACTATTCTACAGTCCTTTGGGAAAAAGGTGAGGCATTGCCCTCTATTTGGGGAGATTATAAAAAGATTCATAGTGTTGCTCCTAATTCCACTGGGGGACACAAAGTAATGGGCTAATTTAATGTCTAAGTCCTAACAAATAAGAAAATAGGTCAGAGAGGTGGTGTGACTTGTTAAGTATTAGATCACTGCATATTTTGTGATGGAGGTAACCACCCTTCCCAGGGCATCTGAGCGATGCAGGCAGTGGTGAGATACCAGAGATGGGAAGCTACACTGAGCCCCCTCCTGTCCTGAACCAAGATCAAGCCTTTCCTCAAAGAGTTAAGGCAGCCTGAGTTGCCTTCTGATTTCCCCAAGGCAGATTGTTGTGCTTGATTTAAAAAAAGGAAAAAAACCCACACTTAGCAAAACCCAATTAGAGGACCTGTCCAGCTATTATTGAGGCAGCTTTCATTTTGAGCCTGTCCAGCTGACTCGGTTCTCTGTTAACTCAGTTAACAGAGGCTTCGCAAAGTGATGGTTTCCTCCTTTTAAGCGCACCCGCGTAGAACTGGGTTAGCTGGACTTAGGAGTAGGCAAGAAAGGGTTGATAGGCAGGTTCTGAAAGGCCTTGAATTGGGTTGAGATGTTTGTGCTTTGATCTGCAGGTAATCCGCTGGAGGCTTCCGTGTAGACATAGGTTGGAGGCTCGTCTGTAGAGGTCTGAGGAGAGGCTGGTTGTGGTCCTCGGGAAGCATCATACTCTGAGAACTACATCAGAGCTGCGCTTGATTCCTGATGCTTTTCTCTGGTTCCTGTGTGACCTTGGGCAGGTCACGTCACTTCTGAGCTTCATTTGTCATCTCTGAAATGGAGTTGCTATCGTTCCAGATGTCTGTGTTGAGAGGAACACATGCAGCCGTGCTTCTAAGGCATCCGGTGTGGTCTTGGGGGCTCTAACATCACGCACATCTTCCCACCTTGCCCTTGCTTGTAGCTTTGCTAGGGATGCTGCACATAGTTCCAGTTATAGTTGAGTTAGTATATGGTTAGATTCTGGACAGAACTCAAAGGAACTTAAGCAGAAAGACAATCAGGGCTTCTAGGGAGAGATGAGATCCTGTAGGACAAATAGATTTTGAGCAGAGAGGATAAATGGATATTGCAGACAGAGAAATTAACATTCCCAAAGGCACAGTGCCGTACCTGCCAATACCTATTCATCCTCACACCTTCAGTTTCAAGGACAGGAGACCGACTCGAGCCAGCTTATGCTTCCAGAAATGTATTGCTCCACTTTGTAAATTATTACCTAACTTGGGAGGGATGGGAGAGCATTATGCTCAGTGAACTAACTCAGTCCCACAAGGACAAATACTGTATAAAACTGTTATTGTAGAATGAGTATAAGGATCCTGGAGGGGTGGGAGAGGCTGGAAGCAGAGGGATGTGGATGGGCAGGGGAAAGAGGGAATTAATCATTAGGTTATACAATTTGATGGGTTGAGGGGGTGAGGGAAATTGAAAAATCTTGTTCAAATTTGTGTTTTTATAAATAAACTAGTGGGGTGGGGGGAATAAGCATATTGCTCCACATAGCTAAGAGGCCTGACTGACTCCAGATCCCACAGCCTGTCTCCGTATTTTAATTACAATGTTGGTTCCTTTCTCTAAAGTGTCAGGGGTGGCCACCTGGAGGCCCAGGCCTTCCCTTCCTGGTGTAATAAACATAGAAGGATGGGCACCTCCCGGACAAGAATGAGCACCTTCTGCTCAGCGCCAGCTGACGTCCCAATGCACTGCCTCCAGCTGAGCGGGTCTTTTGGTATTCCCAAGCCAGTCTTAACAAGCTCTGGTGACACATCGCACCACGTGCTGAGCCGCTGACCTGAAGGTCAACCCTCTGAACCCACCAGCGGCTCTGTGAGAGAAAGATGGGCAGTCTCCGGCCATAAAGATTCACAGCCTCAGAGACCTGGTGGAGGGCGCTTGTGAGTCAGAACAGACTCGGTGACAGCCACTCACTGTGCATCTGCCCCAGGGGCCAGCACATTTTGTACTGGATCAGATGGTAAGAAATGTAGATACTGAAGGCCATAGTTTCTACAGCATCATCTTTGATATTTTCTTCAGTTCTGACTCCACATTACATAATAACAGTACAATCTATAATTATCACAGCCAGAACCCACCCTCGGGGGGTGGGGTGGGGAGGTGTCAAATCAGCTCATGCAAACTGTAAAGAGAAAAGTTGGAGTGGAGGTGAAGCGACTTTCCCCCAAA